GACTTCCTGATAGTAAAGAATTACAATAGTCCAGCCTTGAAGTAACAAATGCATGGACTAGTTTCTCAGCATCACTCCTGGACAGGAGATTTCTCATTTTTGCATTATTGCACCGATGAAAGAAGGACATTCTAGATAGCTCTTTGATATGGGATTTAAATGACAGGTCCTGATCAAAAATAACACCAAGATTTTTTATCTGAAATCATTTTAATCCCATCCAAAAGAAGTGACTGGCTAATCAGCTTCTTTTTCAGAGACTCTGGTCCAAAGACTATAACTTCTGTTTTGTCTGCATTCAGGAGCAGAAAGCTAAGAGTCATCCAGGTTAGCTCCATCTGGATTTATAGACAGATATAGCTAAGTATCATCAGCATAACAGTGAAAATTAATTCCATGCTGTCTAATAATTCTACTGATTGGGAGCATATTTATAGTAATAATAATAATAATATTAATATGACTCTTTATTTGTATTGACCTATTTCATAAAAAAATCTTATAGTTTTACAAAGTGAGAATAAAAACATGAATCAACATTAAAACAAACCTATTAAATCAAAGTTAAGATTTCGATCATAACACTTAAAAACTAAAGAAAAAGCTAAAACTAAAAACAAGAATATATATATTTTTATTTTTTTTAAAGACTGAATCTTCTGAGGGACTGACAACATGATCAGCTTTTTCCTCCCTTTTGGAAACATCCATTAGAGCCATCAGGGTCCATTTTAAAGCCATTCTCACAGGCTGAAAGGCATTTCAGATAAATGTCTTGGAAGTTTTCTTAAGTGAACATTTATGCAGTGTTTTACAGTTCTGTGGAGACATGCTTAAAGCTTGTGGTGCCCTGTTAGCAATTTGCAAAAACCCTTAACAGAGCACGAAATCTGTTTTCTATAAATTATTCTGATATGCTTTTGGCTGTTCTTTGTGAATGTGTGTGGGCTCTGAGAGGGTTGATTTTCTCAGTCTAAGCACATTACAGTATTTTCTTCAACAGCGTTTTATGCATAAAAACTGGAACAGTTTGCAGCGATCTGTTATTTTTCATGAGACTGAGATGAGCAATATTGCAGAGCATATTTTGCCAGTTTGCCGCAGCATGTCATCCACCCACAAAATTGGCAACATTGTCCCATTAGAAGAAAAAAAAGAAATTTGATTCCAAACTTAAAAGCAAACAACAATGCATGAAAGAGGCACATTCAAAGCTATGGCATGTTTTAAAGTAATGCTAAACATCTGGTCTAAAGACTGTTTCATCCTCAGGCACTATGCACTATGGATACCAACACTGGTATTGATAATTGACAATACTTGTGTAAAATAATCAATACCCTTTTTAAAGGCCCCCTTTCTCCTCACCGTCTTCCACCATCACGTGTCTCATCTGCGTCAGCAAAACAAGCAGTGATTGTCATGTTTGCTAATTTCGTTTAACTGTCTTAAGATTAAGTTTTTTTTAAAGTTGCTTTAAAACTTTGTTAATGTTCCATTGTTCATTTGTTAGATTTGGATGATAAAGTTAAAATAATCAAAACACCAAAAGGCCAACAGTTTCATGATACATCCGGCTTGAATATTAGGTGTCCCTATGGGTGATACTGACCATCAGCATAGTAGCTTCATCTGCTCTGTTACTGTTTGGCTGTAAATCCGTCCTCTAAAGAGATATCAGCTGGGCTTTTGCCATCACCGCCTTTTATCATAGATGGTAGAGTATGGCCTGTTTTTTTGTTTTTTTTTAAGTGTTTAGTCCTGTTTCTCTCTCAGACATAACTACGGGCTCAGCTTTTACTGTGACTAACTGGGTGTGCTCTCTTTTATCTATTTGACATGAAACCTGGCAAAGAGCTCATCTGCTTAACTATTTGATTCCTAGGCAGGGCTACCTGGGAGCCAGTTTACTCTTAGCTTTTCTAACATAGAAAGTATCTCTAGATCAGTGTTTCTATGTTCCTTTTCTATGTCAGCTTCTATCTTCTCATCAGATGGCTGCGCATACTGAGCATGGTTCTGCTGGAGGTTTCTTCTTGTTAAAAGGGAGTTTTTCTCTCCACTGTTGCTGCATGCTTGATGCAATCAGTTGGTTTTCCTTAGAAAGAAAACTTTGAACCAGTCTGATTTTGTGATCTGGTTGAATTGTCTCTTTAAAGAGCCTTGAGATGATACATGTTGTGAATTGCTGCTAAATAAATAAACCGATTTGAATTGAATTTTATTGAAATATCAACATCTTTAACTCATCATCTTAACTAACAGAATGACACTGCCATAGTTATGTTCTACTATAAACATGCTGTTTGCAGGGTTGTATCCTTCCAAAGCAAATTTTGGTAAGGCATGCAGCAAATTGCAAACATAACTTCAAATATTTTCTTTTGTCTTCTTCTTACTGCTGCATAAGTTGTGCATCTGGAATAATATCCAGCAGATTGTTTTTACAGCTGAGGCAGATGGATTTGTAGCAGTGACATTTGACCATAAGAAGAAGAGTCTTTATAATAACGATAAAACATTGAGAACGCTAGGCATGATGGGAGGTGGCTGCAGCACTAATGCTGGACGAACTGGCCCGGTGTGTGTGTGTGTGTGTGTGTGTAGGTCTGTCTGAACTCAATGAACCCATCTCCTGCGCGCGCAGAAAAATGTGCCAGGCTTGCAGCATCCCCTGGACGTCATGGCAACGTGTCGGGAGACAACAGGGGGCGGAGCTGGCTCTCAGACCTGAGTCTGAGCTCGTGCGTGTGCTTAGGTGTGAGTATGCGCGCGGGAAGCCGTCTGATACCGCCCTGTCACTAGTGGAGGATCATAACGGGACGATCAGAGAGAGAGAGGAGGGGGGGCGGTGCGGCAGAGGCATCAGAGGAGACTGGCTGGGATGCTGAGCCCCCGCTGGGGCTGACCACACTGCTACGATGCAGTGACGGTCTACGAGAAGAAGACACGCGCCCTGGGAGAGGAGGATGGGGGGATCAGAGCTGCACACCAAAGCGCACGGGTGATGATCTGCTGGGTGTAGACCATGGCACCGTCTGGTCCGCGGAGCATCAAGCGCGGCTGTCAGAGAGCTCTCTACTGGATCCCAGTCCTGTTCATCGCTCTCATAGTGGCGTGGTCCTACTACGCCTATGTCCTGCAGCTTTGCATCGGTAAGAGGAAGCTGTCTGGGTACCATGAGGAGGAGCAGTGTGTGCCATATGGGGGAATACCTCTGGTTTGATTAGTCTGGAAATATAATTCGGTTTAATTTGACAGAATATTTTATTTTGACTCTTTCGTTCCTGCAGAAGCAAAGTCACCTCAAGGAATTTCTATAGACATAACTGCTTAGGTCTCCAAAATGAAAGGAGGGTCTTAATAACATTGTTATAAGTCAGCTGGTTGTACCTTTAATGCAACCATTTTTAATTAGAGATAACCTTTACTCGGTTTAATGTACTTTTTTCCCCCAAAGTGAAATATTTTGCTGTTGCATCAGATTAAGAAGCAGCTTTAATGTGTGATAAAATAACTAGAAACTGCCGGGTGTGTTCTTAAAACCACACAGGCTGGGAAAAAGTATTGAACTTTGCAGCCACGACCATTAATATATTTGATTTTATATTTTATTTTCATAGAGCAACACAAATGTGTGTTTACTAGTGAACTTGTAAAGTTGAAGGAAATTGGTTTATGTTTTTTATGTTATGTAAAAAAAAAAACAGTCAACAAGGCCTGTTTTTTTTTTCATTACTTATTTTGCATATTTACTGTAAAGCTTCCACCATTTTTCACAAATAAGCTGATACACAGTCGGATTGAAAGCTTTTGCGAACATTCAAGCTTTTAAATTACATGTTGTCACTTTTACTGAATAATTGTAGCACAATTATGTGCTTCAGACTTCTACAAGTGTCTGAAACTGTATGTCTAGAGCTGCCTTTAGGCTGAAATTGTGAACCCCAGTCTCCAGCTTTTTAAGGGTTGTTTTCTTCTCAGTTCTCAACAGCTTGCCTGTTCCCTCTAAGAGAAAAAACAATCCCATAGCATGACGGTGCCACTACTTTATAAACTTCCATCTCATATAACCAGAGCCCCTTCTTCCACATGTTTACTTCTTGCATGGCTTGGGACAAAACATACACTGCAAAAAAGATCTAGAAATAAGTAAACATTTCTTAAATTAAGGGTATTTTTCCCTTAATTTGAGCAGGTAAATAAGAAAACCCCCAAACGAAAGAACAATTTAACAATAAAAAAAAAAAAATAAAAAAAAAAAAACCGAAAAAAAAAAAAGCAAATGGTTTTTTCTTATTTAAATGTAAATTCTCTTCTTCCATTGGCAAAGTTTCTCACTGACCTCCTCAATTCAAGAACAAATGCACTGATTTTAAGGAAATATGACTTATTTAGATTTCAATTTTTCCAGTGCAGTGTAGGCTCCCTATTGCTTCTTTTTTAAAAGCTGGATAACAGATCAAATCTCAATTGTAATCACAGCATCATCTGAAACACTACAGCCATAAAGGAGGGAGTGCCTTGATGCAATATTCATTGGATGTTTTAGTTCAAGTGTGGAGCATTTATATTCTGCATGGCAGTGTGTCGCTATGCCTGTTGCATGGCCTGTCACTGCACTTGCTGCCCACTCCAGAAATATATTTTCACAGGGATTCTAAATACTGCAGAAATCTGTGGAAAAGGAAGTATAAAAAAAAGTATTTTAATCACTATTTATTGATAAAATCGTGTGTTTTCCTAATTTCGTGTTCGCGTAGGATCTTTCAAAAGTGGCTGTATTCTCTCCATCCTTCTATAAAATCTATACTGGTTTAATGCACTGTGAATAGTTGTCCACTCTTAAGGAAAAGCTTCGACAGCCGGACCATCACAGAGTTTCTGCGTGTGGTTGAGATGCTCATAAAGCTTCAAAAGAAGGTCAGTTTGTAATGTGGCAAACTAAAATCATGTCCAGGGCTTCGAAGAGGCTCTGTGCAGCAGACTGACTGCTTGTTTAGTATGTCAACAGTCACATGCTAGTGTGTGCAATGCAATTTAGCATGCTATTGTTGTCAGAACAGAAAAACAATGAACAATAGATAGCTTTTATAGAGCGCCTCTTCATGATCAGTGCAATATCACAGGATGTAAGAAGGGGATAAGACCATCTGATTCTCCCGTTGCCACTCCATCAGCACCGGCTTAAAGTCTTACAGTGAAAGCTTCAGGCTCATGTGCTCACCCAGATATGCCGTCCAAATTTATACCCACCAGCACAGACACAATCAGCATTATCTGCTGGCAAAAGGCCGGATTCTAATGGCTTTTCTGCAAGTGCTGAACCCTGGATGGATTGGTCACCCGCTACTGGGCTTCCTGAGTTTAATGGTGAGCACTGAGTTGACCTGGATAGTAATGGCTTTCTAGGATGTCTCACTTGTGCTCCATTTGGCAGGAAGTCAGAGCACTCCAAAGGAAAATCTCTGTGAAAAAAGAGAGCAGGGGATGAAATAGAGATGAGTCTAATGAGAAAGGAAACGCAAATGCAGAAGGAGAGGAGTTGATGTTTTGACAGCTTGTTCCCAAAATCTAAACCCTCTTCTGTTGCCTGTTTATGATCATCCAACAGCAGAACTAAGTGGGTGATATTACAGCAAATTCAAGCCAGCATCTCTCATCTAGAATCAACCCTTTGTTACAGATCCATGTGCTGCAGGGGCAAGACAGAATCCAAATAAAAATCCCCAATCAGCAGCCTCTGTCTCAAATTTTACTTCGCATTATTTTTTTCCTCATCACAAGAACAAAATTATGATGCATTCAGGCCACGAAGATGAAAACAACAATCAGCTGCTCAGGCCCCCAGCAGACAGGACACAGAGGCGGCTGTGTGAAAGTATCATCAGCTGATGCCCTCCGATCCACTTAATCCCATTGTCTGGTTTGCATAATTCGCCTTGAGAAATCTGCGGCTGACCTATTTTCCTTCATAGCACCCAGCAGCAGCAGCAGCAGTATTGAACTGAGCGCACTGATCAGGTGGAGTTTGGTTTTTGGAGATACACTGAATGCAGGGAGAGGAAAAAATGCTGCTTTTTGCAGACACATCATCAAAACACACCCATGTTTGTCCTTAATCTCACACACATTGTTGGAATATGAGACTTTCTGCTGGCGGAGCAGCAAGCATGTTTCTTGATAGCATGCCTTAAATTCAGCTTCTCGGTTTCCATTTTTTTATTTTAATTTAATTGAATTCGTTCAGCTGTCTTTCTCCAGCTCTTTTTCTATCGGAAATAAGGGTTTCTAATGAACTGGTGCTACAGTTTATACTCCCTCGTCTTTTCTGAATGCACTGGAGACACAATGAGTCAAAGTGACCAGCATGTTTCATATTGATTATGTGTCTGAAGTTCTGAGCTCAGGAACGAAGGGTGTACCAGCTCAGCGTTTGTTCAGTTCAACCATTCTGAAGTCAAATGCTTGGCATTTTATTCCACAGCTTGGCTCTCAAACACACCATGTTCTCCTCACTGACCAACTTTTAACGCTTTGTTTTCCAGAATCCATCGAGGACACGGGAGAAAAGGGTAAGAGATTTAACGGCATCTCAAAAACAGCATCTAAACAAAATATTCACACTCCTTTACCCATAAATGTTTCATTACATTAATATGATGAGGGATTATTCGGATTAAATGTAATCAACAAAGACACAGTAGTTCATAACTGTGAAGTGAAAGAAAAGCAATTCATGGTTTCTCAAGAATGCCTTCCATTCTGCTCCTACCTTTGTGAAACAGGAAAAAGACTAATGCAAAGTGAATCCAGTAGAACTTTTTATTGCCTACCTGGAATGGGTGACAATAGTTAAATAAACTTTTGGCTCTCAAAATGGTATCGGTGCCCTATTTGATGGTACAGATACCGATACCACCATTTTAGAGCAGTATTGGGGCCCCGCCTAATACTGGTATCGGTGCAACACTAGTGTTGACGTTGGCATAGTAACCAGAAGTAAATATTTACATATTTTGGACCCATCAAACTTTTATGAAAAACTTTATATACACTATTTTTATTTTTTTTTTTTACAGTAAAATGAATACTTTTATTCTGCACCACTCTCTCTATATATTCTGTATACAGGTATGTATTTTATTTGGAAAAAATGAAAAAAAAAAATGATAAAAAAAGCTGTACCAATTACCTTTAAGTTCTTATTTCAAGTGTCTTTACACTATTAATTCATAAATCTTGTTAAGTGAAGTTGACTTGATATACAGAAAGGTAATTCAATTTGATATGAGTAAGTTTTCCCTCAGATTAAGTGTTTTTTATATTATTTTTAGGCTGATCTTTTTAGCAGAACATAGATATTTAGTTCAGCTCGTCAAATTAAACATGTGGTGAAACACACGCAAAGGGTAAACTAACTCTATTGCTCTGTTTGCAGTTGTTTACCTGCTTGCCTACCATGTCATTTTCTTCATGTTCGTGTGGGCGTACTGGCAGACCATCTTCACCAAGCCTATGAATCCCCTGAAGGAGGTGAGTGCATCCTGGATGATGGCAGGCTAAGATGCATGCTACTTCCCCTCCTTACAGCCCCCTTGTGATTGAATGTTGCAGTTAGACTAATAATACTTTCTGTTTGGAATGCCTGAAGCTGCACTTTAATGGCTGTGATCCTGACCATAGCACTTCAGCCCTGCAGAGTGAGGATACCTCTGCAGGGACCGCATCAGCTGATATACCAGATTCTTCTTTATGAGATGTAATCGATGGATCACTGGAGGTTTTGCTGATCTTAATAAATTCTGTCTGTGCTGCCTGTTATCATCTCAGTTATTTGTTTCTATTGTTCAATCATCTCTTTTTCCCGTGCCTGGGAGCAATATCCCGGCTCTGTGCTTGTGCTTCTCTCCCATTTTCCTGCTGAAGCAGAAGCAGTCAAGACAGATGAGGGAAGCAGACGGTTTTCACTGCCTCTCAGTTTATATTAACAAGGACTCCTCCATCACTGATTCTCAAACAGCACTTAGCTTATCATGCAGAATAACTGGATATGTTTTGACAAAAACAAAGATGTGATGAACACGGCTTAATAAATCCCCCTCATAAACCATAGATTGTGTTTTTCTCTTCCTCTGTCCTACTTAGTTTGAGCTGTCTCACTCTGACAAGGAGCTGCTGGAGCGTGAAGATCGTGGAGAGTCCCAGCAGGAGATCCTGAGGAGAATAGCCAAGGACCTGCCCATCTACACCCGCACCAACTCTGGAGGTACGGCACGCTCTCATCTCTGCAGTGCAGCTGGAACAGTGTGGACCAGCGGGTTAGGAGAGGCTGCTGCTGATTACTGAGTGATTGAACTGCCTGTTTCTCCTCAGCAATACGTTTCTGTGACCGCTGCCAGCTGCTGAAGCCTGATCGATGTCACCATTGTTCAGTCTGTGATAAGTACGACTTTCAGCTCCCCGCTCCTCCACAGAACAGATCATATGATAATATAGCATGCTGACAGGAGGAGTCCTATTTAATTGCTCTGAAGTTGAATCATACTGTGTTGCAGATGCATCCTGAAGATGGATCACCACTGCCCCTGGTGAGTATCGTTCCCCCCAGGTTTGGGTAAACAGCTTATGGTGCTGCACCTCCCATTTGCATTCAGACTAACAAGGTTTCTCCACATTGCATTGCTTCCTAAAAGTGTTCACATGCCTTAAACTTTTGCAGTTTATTACATTACAACTACAAACTCCAGGGTCTCCTATTGGGACTTTTATATGACACAACATCACAAAGATATAAAGTGGATTGTGATACTCTGATTCGCCTGAATAGAATTAAGTGCAACGTCCATCAGAATTCACCAAATAAATGAAAAAGAGTCTAGGAATTTAAGATCGGTTTAAAACCAGGAGATTTTAAACTTCATGAAGATCAAGGAGCACAGCAGACAGGTCAGACAGGAAGCTGTGCAGGTCTTATAGTACTCCACAAGTCTCAAGTTTATGAGAGAGTAACAACAAACAATGTGAAGGAAGGATCCCCCAAAATTAACGTTTGAGGTGCAGGGACAGACATGACCTAGAAACATTTGAAAGGAATACTGGAATACTCCAAATAAAAGGCATAATGGAAGCAAGTCTTTTAGAGTCAGCTAAAGATTTGAGACTGAAAGTGAAGTTTCCTCCTCTAGCTGAGCTACAACACTAGAGATACAGCCAATGCAGCACTGGAATGGTGCAAAGCATATTCATGTGATAAAATGGTGATTGCTGCGAATGCATAAATCATGTTGACACACAAAAAGAAAAAAAGCTTAAAGTGGCAAAAAGAACTGCAAGTTATAAAAAGCTACAAATTAGAGCCATGTAATAGAGTCAATGAGTCAATGCTATTAGCTGGTAGATAGAAAACTGAACCAATCTGACTCTATGATCTGGTTGAATTGTCTCTGTAAAGAGCCTGGAGATCACATGTTGTAAACTGAGGCCATATGAATAATTTGAATTAAAGCTGAATTGAATTGAAGTGCTACAGATGACTCAGGAGAGATATTGTACATGAGAAGAGAGCCTTGGTAAAGTCATAAAAAGAATGCAGTTAGGAAAATTATCATTGATGATGTGTGAGTTTATTACACCTTAAAATGAGCTGCCTGTTGCGTGTCAGAGCTGATGTTTCCCACAATACTTAATCTAATTAAGACAGTTCCGCTGTCCGGATATACAGTTATAATCTTCATTCTGCACGTGGCAAAGATTTGGGAATGAAATGTTCAGCTAAGAACAAAGTGTTATATTTTGATAAGGCTTAAGCCATGAATGTCTCCTCATCTGCTACCGTGTATGATGTAATAATGTGATGATGTGGCAGACTGTAGATGTATAAAATGCCTTTTTGACTGCTAAACAGGACCACTTCCTGAGAGGTGAGCCCAGAGGTGAGCAGCTGCCTTCTGTAACTCTAAGCAACTTCTCTGATCTGAGTAAGATTACAATTTCTGTCAGAATCTGTTGTCGTGTCTCCTGGTTATTTAATACATATAAGTTATGAAGTGTTATTTAAAGAGTTTGTTTCCGAGTGATCTCTTATAATTGTAATCTTACTCAGATCAGAGAGGTTGCTTAGGGTTACAGAAGGCAGCTGCATACCAACCGGGCTCATTTCTCAGGAAGAGGCCACAGTTAAAGAAGCATTTTATACATCTCCAGTCTGCCACATAATCACATCATTACATCATACATGTTTGCAGATGAGAAGACATCCATGGCTTTGTTCTTTGATCAAGAGCACTACTTCGATCCGTTCACAAATCTTTGCCACGTGCACAATGAAGATTATAACTGTATATAGCCGGACCAAGGACCTGTCCTGATTAGATAAACTACTGCGAAAAACATCAATTCTGACATGCAACAGGCAGCTAGTATTAAGGTGTAATAAACTCACACATCATTAATGATAATTATCCTAACAACTAAGATATTTTTAAATTCAAACTTAAAAAATGTCTCTTTAACTTGCAAATGTCTTTGCCACATTCAACACTTTTCACTTGCATGTGTTTTGTGGTTTAGGCTTTTTTTTTGTTTTGGTCTAATTTCTGGATTTGGCGAACTTTTTAAATTTGCTGTAAAACTATGTATTCTATTGCATACATATTTGCACCTCTTAGTTACCCAGAACTGTAGCTTTAGTTCCAGCATAATATAGTCCAAATCAGCATTCAGTCAAAGGTTCTGAATATAAATGCATGCCACAGTTTCTATGGATTGGTACTTGTATAAATGTTTAGAAACCAAATATAATGTTCCTTTGTGATTGTAGCAAGAAGCAAGCATCAATGCTTGTGCATGCCTTCTAAACACATCAGGCCTCATGATAATCCATGCACAGCTAGAGAACAGACCTTGTCTGCAGAAAGAAATAAAAGAAATCGGAGCTGAGTCATGCAACCTGTGGGGAACACGACCTGCTAAGTTTCAGCCCAGCCGTTTGTTCAGATGAGATGAGTGAAAACCTAAAACACTCGCTGAATTTAAGAGAGCTTTAGTTTTCACAGTAGCCAATAAATAATTGAGTTTAATGAACTACAAATTAATTGAGTTGGACAATGACAGACTTAACAATGCATTGTTTCGTGTAAACTTGTATTAAGCTTCTTTATTATCACCACCCTGCATATTGTTCTTATCTGCAGGGTAAACAACTGTGTGGGATTCTCTAACTACAAGTTCTTCATGCTGTTCCTGGCATATTCTCTACTATACTGCCTTTTTATAACTGCTACAGATCTCAAGTACTTTATCAAGTTCTGGACAGTAAGTTGAGTTAAATCAGCACATTCTCAGTTATCTGGAATAAAGATAACTTGTTGCACCTTAGGGACCAGTAAAAGGTGCAATAAAACAGCTGCATATACTGTTTCTTTTTGTAACATTGTGTTTGGTCTTTTAACAAAGGCTGGAGGTAGAGCACATTTCCGTCTGAGAGAGTATCTGGTATGCACTACGCGGTTAGTTAGTGATTTACTGCATCAGAAGCTAGACACAGCGGCATGCAAAAGTTTGGGACCCCTGAAATGTTTCCAGTGTGTTCAGGAAGTAAGCTTGTAAGCTTGTATGAGCCATGGCTGGATTCTGTGCTGCAGACCGTGACATTGGGAACTTCTTTCTGGTAGAGGAAAAAGGGAGGGTTTAACCGAATACCTGCAGAGTTTGGAAGGGAGCACCACACCATCTGGAAAATAGATGAAGATGCCTCATTTAGCTGACAGTAAAGGGCAGGGCGGCCTGTCTTTTACTCCATACCTCTTTCCCGTTTAACTCCTCTGACAGGAAGATGAAAATGGAATAAGTCACCTTTGGATATTAAAGAGAATCTTGTGTCTCATTCTGACAGTGATGGAGTTTTTTTGGGGGTACCAAACATTGCTATGTCACTATATTAGGGACTCTATGGAAGCCTATTTTTAACACTGTGATTTAACGAAGAAAAAACCTAAACATTTAAAGCATTATTATCAAATAAACCATGTAATAACTAGGATAAAGCATTGAATAATTATCTCTTAATACATCTTTTTCATTAACACTCGGGTCTCACCATAAAATAAATGAGAAAAAATTCATTTTCTACACTAAATATGTTACCAAACCTTTCAGAAAATGAAAAGAAATCCTAAACATCAACTGTGAGTAAGTTAGATTACCATATATAAGTTGTTTGTATCATTTGTGATACATTAGGCATTGCTGAGCATTTTATTACGGATTTTCTGCTCACTATATGTATGAACGCTTAAGTCAGTTTTTTTAGGGAGTAAATAAAACATGTGCCTGGACCGCATGTAAATTGTCCATGTTTGTTTGGACAATAAAAAAGAAACAAGAAGGCTATCTGAAGACTTCAAGTTGAGGCTTTTAGACCTAAGAACACTGTTCCAGCTGTGGTGCATGGCAGCGGCAGCATTGTGCTCTGGGCCTGCTTCATCCAAGTGTTACTATGAATCGGATTACAAAAAACCTGGAGTACTTCCAAGATTTATCTAAATGAATCAATCAACACCAAAATGATTGAATATTGGCCAGAACTGTTTGTTCTAACATGACAGATCCAAAACACACCCAACTGGGCCAGTCCTGCACCTGGAAACCAACCTGTTAAAAGACGGCTACCATTTCTTCCAAGAAACAAGCTCAGACACCCATTCAGAGTCTCCCTACTTGTTGATGGCACTAAAACCCAGATGGCTAGCGTGCCGTTTTCTAGGGGATATTTATCCAGTATCAGAGGGGGAATCCTTATTTAAAATGTTGACCTTGTGTGGATTCAGGAAGATCAGCTATGCATCCAAACTTGTGCATCAGTTTTCTGTTTTATAAACCTTCTACATATTAAAATGATTGTTTGAATGCATAATTAAAAGTCCAACACTCATCCCATGCTGATTGTAAAATCTGGGTCAAATCTTTGACCCAGTATCTCATGGATATGACATAGTTTGTAATCATTTTGAAAAAAATATCATTAATAAGGACACTTGTGATTATAGTTTAGTTACTGATATTTAAACTGTGCTATCTCCTAATTAGATTTTTTTTTTTTCATCACAGTTTTAAAGTTGGGCTTCCAAAGGGACTCAGTAGCCAATTTAAACAGCGATTCTCCTCCACCTAGCTAGTAACACCCTTATTCAAACAGTGGTCTCTTGGAACCAATGTATGCGTGCTAACGCTGCCTTCTTCCTTCCCAGAAAGGCCTCCCGGACACTCAGGCGAAGTTCCACATCCTGTTCCTCTTCTTCTCAGCCTCCATGTTTTCCGTCAGCCTGGCCTCCCTTTTCATTTATCACTGCTGGCTCGTCTGCAAGAACAGATCCACTCTGGGTGCGTCTCGTTTTCAGCACCTACTGTACCTCTCCATGTCTGTGTGGACATCTTTGTGTTTTTTCAAAAAACCCTGGAGCTCTGGTTACATCCATCCTCCTCTGTCTGCCAGAGATGAAGGAGCAGTTCTCCACATTTTTTCCCCCAACCTATCAGTGTGCGGATTTGATGTGCTGCTCTAGGGGGACGTTATCAGCTCCGTAGTTTCTCATTAGGAGCACACAGTGGCACACGTTGTCTCTGCGTCGAGGAGTATGGATTAACCAGAGGAGTACGTTTCACAGTAATGCAAAGACACAAGGCTCAGAGCGGTAAGCAGCTTAGAGACGGACACTGATATGCTGTTCAGAAAGACAAGTCACACCTGGTTAAAACACTATGAAAGTCGCACAACAAAGACACTTTGATTCAGAGGAATTTGATTGAAGCCGTAGTAAAACAGGGACGACTCCTGCAGATCTGAACCTGAATGAGATTGGGTTGTCCCCATGATGCTCTGATAAAATAAAAATATATAAAATATAAAATTCTGAGCAGGCAATGATGTGTTTGATATGTTTTCTCTCTGTCTGTTGGTTTAGAGGCGGTGCGTGCTCCGGTCTTCCGTCATGGTCCGGACAAAAACGGCTTTAGTCTCGGCTTTACCAAGAACTTCCTCCAGGTCTTTGGTGACGAGGCCAAATACTGGCCTGTTCCCATTTTCTCCAGGTGAGATAATCCTTTAAAGCCGGTGAAAGTTAATGGATTAGAAGGGCTTGTTTAAATGTTTGTTAAAGCAACCCACAACTAATGGAATATGTTGGCCTAAAAAGGTTGTAATTTTCCTGTTACCCTAAAAAATTACTTTTTGATACATACAAATTCATGAAACTAATGAAACTAATTAATTCAGAAATTGTAAATGCTTTGTTACATTTTTCACCCACGGAGGTTGCCATTTTTTTTCACCTGCACAATGCATGCTGGGTTAAAGAAGCTCGTAAGCCTGGTTTATGCTCAGAAACCAGGTCGTCTACGTGTGTGTCGCAGTGAATGCAAATATGCCCCGCACCCTCTGCAGACACTCAGGTGCACCTCTCCAAAATTGTAGATGACCGCAGACAGGAGGCCTCTGATTGGTCAAATCTACATCCTCTCTATACTATGCCTATTTCCTGTTTGGTACTTTACCGGCTTGTTTTGTTTGTATGACCACCATTGCAGAAAACGACTCGTGAAGATGGACCAGCTATAAGAGCGAGGAGCGGGAGAACGCTGGACCCTTTTTCCACCTGGATCCCCGCTCTTTTTTGCCGTCATGTCCCTCTGTTGTCGCACAAATTTGCCCCCACATCCTCACCGCCCCGGCCATATGTAGACCCACAGCTAGTTCCTGATTGTCCCTCTTGCGTTGTGGCTTCGAATAACAGCGCAGACCACGCTTCAATATTGAGCATAAATCGAAAATATCTGCAACAAGCTCACTGCGACACAATGCTGCAGGAGGATAACCAGCCTTTTATAATACTCCTACGGCAGGGAGCGGGGATCGAGGTGGAAAAAGGGTCCCAGCGTTCTCGCCCACCTCAGTCTTCTAGCTGGTCCATCTTCACAAGATGTTTTCCACAATAGCGGTCATACAAACAAAACAAGCCGCTAACGTACCAAACAGGAAATGCGGCACTGTCTGTGGTTACCTACAATTTTGGAGAGGTGCAGCAGAGTGTCTGCGAAGGGGACGGGGGCATATTTGCATTCACTGTGACACACATGCAGACAACATGGTTTCTGAGTATAAATCAGGCTTAACACAGACAGTGGCACAGACAGGAGGCCTCTGATTGGTCAAATCTACATCCAGTCTAATTAACTAAACTAAATACCAAAAATGAAGAAAAACAGTGTACATAAAATATTGTTCTCTTCTAATACATTTTATGCTCAAAAAATTATTTTATTATACACACCAATCATAGACAATTTCAAAAGAATTTTAAGGTGATAAAACAAGAAAAACAATTGCAAACATCAGAGATTATATTGCTAACTGTAGTTCTGCACTCCACCAGTAGGTGGTGACATGTTCACATGAAGCTTCATGACCTGTGGGGATCGTTAAAGCAATTTGCCCAAACGGTTAAATGCTTCATGAGGCTTCATCTCGCCATCATTAACTGAATATACAAAAGAATTGATGAAAGCATACAAGTATTGCTTTCTGCCTTTACATGAAAAAAAGCTAATATCAGCCAAAATTAATGGTGGATCTGTCTTTCTTTATTTTGTGAGGATAAAACTTTTTCCATAATTTTGCTTGAATCGGCCTGCAGGCCTTTAGTTTGATATGCATGGTCTATAAAACAAAACACCAATAAAATACATCAGAAAAGACAAAATATATAAATACTTTTTTAAAGAAGCCGCCTTCGTCACAGTCCTGGTTCTGTTTAAGTTTTCTATTGAGTTTTCAGTTTCACTTTGAACCATGTTTTTCTTTGTTTTCTAGTTTTATTGGTTTAATTCCTATTTTGTGGTGTTTTTGGATATATTTAAGTTCTTGGGTGTTTCTTGATTGCCCTCTGTTGCCCTCTTGTGTTGTGCTCCTTTTCCCTAGCTCCCTTCTAGACTCCTCTGTTCACACCTGCTCCCAATCAGCTAATTCGTCCTGTCTTTGTTCTGCCTCCCATATATATACTCTCGCTGTGCCGTTCTTTAGGGCTGGTTCCTCGTCTTTTCCTGGCTCCCCATACAAATTTTCCCATGTAGTTGTCTGGTTTTTGGTTCCATGTATTGTGTACTTTGCTTTTTTTTTCGGTTTTTGCCTCAGTTAATTAAATCTACAAGAACGCTCCTCTGCCTCCTCACCTCTGCATTTGGGTCCTCAAAACCTCAACCAAACCCTTACAGCCTTGTATACAATCATATTTGTAATGAACTAACACGTCCAGATTGGGCACTTGAAGGCTTTAACCAGGCATCAGGAAGTTCCCGTCGAAACTGCAGTCAGTCCAAGCTGGTAGTGAAGGTCAATGGAGACAGAGGAAGTTTCTTGGCAGATACGATGGCGTTCAATAGCTGGGTAATTCGGAGGTGGCGAAATCTTTTATACCTCAATGTCGGCACAAACTCTGGAACATCAGGGTTCCATTATGGCGTACCACAGCAGGAAAGATTGAACCTGTTGTCTTTCAATAAGACGGCGGCTGACCTGCACATACTACAGCATGTGTGTCACCGAAGTGCCTCCACGACCTGGAGCTCCTCTTCTGTCCCACATATTTCCTACAGACAAGTTTTGAACCTTGTATGAACTCCACATCTGTGGGCCAATTTTCCACAAGATAATAGATGGTTTCCAGGTCCACACCCTGCTATCATAACACAGCAGATCCCTGATCATCACATGACTTGTCAGAGCGTACTGTATTGTTGCATTTTCCACCTTCTCTCTGGACTACGAACTGTTCTACAGCAGATCAGTATTAGAAAGCAGCCAATCATGTCTCTGTGGACGCCTCTGTGAGATCAAAGTTTTCCTTCGCCGCTCACTGCTGGTGTGATCTGAACATCCTACCGAGTGATCTCACAAGACAAGCTTGTGTTTGATGAGCAGATGGGGGGGAGTTTGTGTGTAGATGGAGCAGCTTATGCTGTCAGTCTGTAAAGAGTCTCTGCGTACACATAACAAGCTGACAGATGAGATGTGTCAGGGCCAATTTTCATTTTTGCTGTGTTTTCCCCAACCGATGTGGAAGCTTTGTCTTGTTCAACAAAATAAAAGTCTACTGCCCTGCAAAAGTCTGCATAGGCTTAAAACTGTTTTTCACATTTTATCACAGAATGATATCCATGAACTTTATTGGGATTTGATGTGAGAATATAAAAAGCAGAGCATAATTCTGAAACGCTGTGGCAGAAAACTAACACTGCTCCTGAACAAACTGTCACTACAGTGAAGCATGGAGGTGGCAGCATCATGCCGTTAGAGTTTATGAGAACATTGATAAAATGAAATTAGGGACATGCTAAAAAAATAAATTTTTTATATTTTTTCCAAGTGTGGGAGACTAATAGATCGTTTTACGTCCACTTTGTTTTATTGTCACATTTAGTCCCAATAATTACAACGAAATCTGTGATTGAAATGTGACAACAAGCGGAACACTAATGCGTCGGAATGAAGATAAACTAATCATTATTATTTTGTCAGCTTTTGTCAGATATGTGCAAAATAACAGTCTTTAAAAGGTGATGATCTTTCGCTTATTTCTCTACTAATATCATCACCACATTAAGCTTCCTAATCCATTAAAACACCCATACCTGAAAAACACAACAGTAAAAACATTAAACGTGAATGCAAATCCTGTTCTAACTGAGCCCGCATGCCTCTTATATGCTAATATTGTGTAAAATAGAGCCATTTTCTAACATACGGTAATATAATTTAACTTGGAGATACCTGAGCCCTGTTCACTTACTTCCTAATAAAGTGCTTCAAAATGGTCCCAGCACAGCGCTGTGGCTACATCCTCAGAATCTTAACACACAAAAATAATATAACCATAGATCCTAATACTTTATGTGTATAAGTAATATAATAAACCTTTCTTTGTTATTAATATTCATATCTTTCGTCTTATTCTTTATATTTCTCAGTTTCTTTGTGCAAAATGAGAGTCATGAACACAGATAATACATGCATGTGTGTGAAGACTGTAAACATAAAACCAGGGTTAAAATAGCAATTTGAAATTGTTCATATATCTGCATTCTTTGCTTTTGTGTTGGATGTACAGTTTAGGGGATGGCTGCTCGTTTCCAACCTGCCTGGTGAATCTGGACCCTGAGCAGCCCTCATCGCCTGCTGGATCCAGCTCTGCCAACAAGAGGTGACAATTCAAACATGAGATCAATGAGTGGAAAATAGAGACTTTTCATGTCAGCATAAAGAATGAGTTTTTATTTTTGGGTAGGATTTTATTGGATCACATCTCTGTTTGTGTTCTTGCAGTGCAGCAGAGGGCCGCCAGTTCCCCTCTAAGCCCCTCAGAGAGAGTCAGAGCAGACTGCTCACCAGCACCCCCTCCTGGTCAGAGAGTGAAGGTGCAAGAGACAAAGACAAGAAGGGCAAGATCATAACACAATAATCCAATTTCACATCTGATAACATTACTTTCCAAAAGTAATCGTAACAGCCCTTAAACATGTTCAGTTTTTGACATGGAAACCAAAGATATTGATATATTTCACAGGGAGTTCCAGTCTTAGTCTTAAACAAAATGACACATAAACTTGAGATTGGATGGAAAAAAATCAACCTAATTTTAATTTTCTCTTGTCCATTTAATTGTTGTCCAGAAATCTTCCACATAATTGCTGTGTACCTTTATGCAATTTATCCACACAGTCCAGGTGGTGGAGTGCACAACTAACAGCTGCAAATTATTTCAGCTGAGCTGTGAATCCCTGCAGATCCTCCAAAGTGACCATTGGCTGCTCCTCGGAGTTTAAAGAGACTAAATAGAAGATGATTTAAGGGGAATAATGCATTCTAAGAAGCTGCTTTGATGCATGTTTCTCTGATCATTTGCACTCTTGAAATGTTTCACATGTGTTTATATCTGTGTCCAGGTGCAAGTAACCCAGTGATGACTGTTGAAAACGAGGCGTAATGATTCCTGCTGACAGGTTCAGACCACAAATGTAGGTTATTAATCATGTGAAAATTTAGAACTATAATTGAATAATGATTGCCTGAATAATAAGCCTTTCATCCTGCAGGTCTATGCTGCCCTCCTCTGTGTTTGTGCCTATCCCACCATGCGTGTTGGTGACAGCTTTGTTGTTTGCCATCATGCAACCTGCACTGAGTTTAACACAACTCGACCGACAAAAGCCAGGAAATACCAGATGAGCCACCACGTCTGCTGCTCTCTCTGAAAGTCTCTGCATTCCAGTCATCTGTGTTTCTTTGGATGCAAATAAGCGCCGAGCTGCAGTCAGAGAGGATGGCGTTTTGTTTTTCTAACTGTGTCGTCAGCTGCTCTCCCTGTTGCAGCACATTCAGAAACTACCTGCTGGTTACTTTGATTCTTTGGCACATGAAGAAATGCTAAATATAGACGAGCAGAGACGTATCAAGATATTCCCTCCTCTTGTAATGTTCATTTTTTTTAGATTTCACATGCATCATGGTGAGTATTGTGAAAGAGTTGCATGCTCTCATCTCAGGATGTCAATGCAGACATGAAGTGAAAAAGAAAACAATGTAGTGATTAGTAATTACATTTAAAAAGGGCTCTTCTGACTGAGAGGCATGAGTGAGGATGTTACTGCTAAGCCTGGAGTCCACTGTTTCTGACTGTTTCTCCCTGAAGGCTTCTGCAGCAGACGAGATCCGCCCGCCATTGGAAAGCAGAAACCGTTTGAAGTTTTTGGTTGTTTTTTTTCTAAATGTGGCTGACTTACAGAAAAAAAAAAATCTTGTACAGTCCTTTCAGGCTGGAAAAGACTTAAATATCCAATTGTACTAAACAGTGCTGTTAAGAATGTACACTTTTAAAATCTTCATCATGACATATTTTTCTATCTTTCCTGTCTGTAAGACCAATTGGATGTGTGAGGCAAGCTGTGATGCCTTATAAGAATAAAGTGAGCTCATCCTCCGTCTCGGCCTTTTCTCAATAAAAGCACAAATGTTCCATTAAGTCAGAACATCATTGAAATATTATTTCATTTCAAAGATTTTATTCAAAATATGACAAATCAGACTATAATCTTAATATTTTTATACCAAATCCTAGTAAATTGACATATAATTATGTTAATTTACTGCACTTAAATCTGGGCTCCTTTGAAATGAATCAGTAATAGACTTGATGAAAGATTCAGCTGCTCAAATCACTTGAAATGGAAGCTCTCCTCTTCCTTTAGACTCAGAAGATTTGACTTTTAAATGAAATTAACTTTTTTTTTAAAAAAATCTGAGATCATGTTCCTTCGGGTAACATGCTTGTAATGTATTTTCTTATTTTTGAGTTAAGGAAATGTATACGTTCTAGACTTCATGCTGGGTTTTAATTGGTTTAGACAATTTTTTTTTCAGCTCAGCTTTCATCAAAACTTTAGTAACTGACTTCCTATCCCTATTTTATACCTTTAGAAGTTAATAACTATAATCTTTTTAATGTTTCATCGCATAAAATCCAGTTTCTGAATCTTGACCTGATTTTTATCTTTATTTCTCGTTCAGTTAAATGGAGTCGAGTGTTTTATGCATTTTGTCTCCTCAGTGCATTATAAACTATTCTAAATTAGTTAAGCCGTCTTTGGTGTAGAAGCTTAACATCTAAACTTTTAACTTCTTTAAAGTAATTGGTTTTTATTTAACTGTATAAATATGCCCTATTTTTGTGGATTTTTATTCACTTAATGATTTTGCACATCTAATTTATTCAAAGCCATTTTCGTAAACTGTATTTCTCTTGTTTTAATTGATGGTTTCTCGTTGCTAGTCTTTTCTATAATCTTAATGATTTTATTAATGGTGCTTCCCATGTCTTTTTGCTGTCCAGCGACACACTTGTGTTTTCCATCTGGAGGACAAAAAAGTATATTTCTACTCTATATTAACAATGACTGTTCTGAGTCCAGCTTTGTTTGGTAGCTCCATCTACAGTCCATGTCTTGTAATCCCTAAAGACTATGGTTATCCTGGATGCCTGGGCATCTTTCTCCACCAGTTTTTTCCTTCCACTGAACTTTCCATTAATATCCCTTAGCAAAAAGTAATTTATTCAAGTATACTAAAAGTGCACAAATTTCATACTTAAAATCAGGCAGTGCACTTAGAGTTTACTTATTCTAAACTATATTTCATATACTTAACAATAGTATAGTCAAGTGTACTTGACTATACTATTGTGTACTTTGTTTACTTAAGTATACTTTAGTAAACTTAGAAATGTCCCAATTTAGTTCGAAAAAGTATTAATACTTTAAGTACACTAAAAGTACATTGTTTGGTATACTTTCTAAACTTATACTTAAGTATTCTTAATAGAATTTACTTCAAGTATACTACCTTTTGCTAAGGGATTCTCTTTGTTGAGGGAGTCAATTCCTGACTTTGGGAAAAAGTCTTTCCCATAGGCCCTTTCACATTAAAAGCTCTGGGGATCTGATTTACTGAGGTGAAATGAATCCTGGGAATTCATCAGCCTGCTGTAATCATTACTCTGAAAGGCTCTGAAGTGTGTCTCAATCAGCTTGAGAAAAGGCTGCACTACACCTTTAATCTCGAGGAAGTCGATAATTAGAACAGACAACTGGTTTTACCATTTATTTCCAGTGCTGTTCAGATCAGTCATGACTTTGAGGCTATTTTATGGCTGTAACACCTCTGACGGGCATATCAAGAATGGCCGCCATGGCCACCCCTACCTTTTGATTTGTTAAGAGCATAATTGACCTATAAGATCATGACTGACCACCTCCAGAACAAGCAGTTCCTCCCTGAAACAGAGAGTGGCAGTAGTGATACTCTGAGGGGAAAATGTCCCAACTTGACCTTTTAGCTGTTATTATAGTAACTATAAAATGACAAAATTACAGTGATTATCCACATCAGTAAACTGTTAAATATGACAAAGACAGAACTCATTTTTTCAGATGTAGGTTTTGTGTTTTATGGAGAAGTTATTGTCATCAGAGTAGCTATGAAATTAAAAACAAAGAACCTCTGCCCAAACCTTTTAATTTATATATTAAGCATAATCATAACCGATCTAGATGACATAGATGTAGAAATCTGTATATAGATTTATTGGGGTTTTCAGACTATCGGTTCCGTCTTCATTATTTGGAAAATCTGGATGTTTTGCTCATATTTTCCAGTTTGCAGTGTGATTAGTGTAGACTGACCCTAAACTGGTTTTGTGTATTTTTATAATAAATATGCCTTATAAATCTACATATTTCGGTTTATAACTGGTACCTGCAATTTGAAGTCAAAGGATTTCATTGCAAAGAGCTTTTTTCCTGTAGAAAAACTTCCAAGCCTTTATTTACAAAAACAAAACAAACAAAAAAAAACACTAAAAACATTCCTCTCTTCAAGTTGCATATTATTCTCTAACAAGGGTGAGAGATGAGCTGCAGAAATAAAAGAAGCGCATGTCAGTTTTAGACGCATAGAGCGGTTGATATAAGCTGCAAACCTGAAAACAGCAACGCAAGTCTGGGAACTAATCAACAGCACAGCTTTGAACGCATGCAGCCTAACTGGAGAGAAAAGCATAGGAGTCATTCCAAATTCAAACGGTGTTTGTTAATAAGCAACGCTCTCTATGAATAAAAGCCCCCACCCTGGTTAGACTAAAATAATAAAAATGAAGTTTACTCCCAGAAGAGTCATTTAGAGAAAAAAAATCCTACAGCTGGTTTAATCAAAAAAAGGTTGCAGCATCACCAGTCAGTTACACAAAGCTCATGCATCTGACCACATGTGCATCCGTCAGCGAGAGCGACTGGACAAACAAACGACACTCATTCCTCCTAATGAAAAGCATCTGGATGAACGTTATTTATAGAACAGCATGTGACATTTCTGAACTCAAGGAAATAAGAGGGAAGAACTGTTGTCCTGTTCTGGACCAAGAAGACATTTTTCACAGTGAATTCAGACCTTATTCAGATCATTACAAACATTTTTTTAATCACATGAACAAATAAACAAAAAAACTCTGGTCTTGATCCATCCGGATTTTAGGAAGGGTGGGGGGCTCATCCGGGTCTTAGTGTTTGACGGGGTCGCCGGAGGACGTTGCGGAACCAGCACAATAAATTAAAAGTTTTAAAAGAGAAGAATGCAGCTACTGTTAAGGCTGAGTGTGGTGAGAGCTGCTTTCGTGGTGGTGGAGATTTTCCTACATGTTCACAATATAAAACAGGAACACAGAAAGGCAACAAACAGGGAAGAGAGACAGAGACACGCCGGAAATGCGTTCAGCTTTCCATATAAAATCAGGTTAGAGCTCTTTAAAGTGCAAAACATGTCTACAGAACACTCCAGGAAAACTAAAATCCCATCATGTTTAACTAAACTGAACCGCTCGCGTCGTCTATGCTGCCTTGCAGGAATAAAAGCCTAAACTCACACATGCAACTCGCGGCATGGATGAGGACAGCTGGGATTCTTTTCTCCATCATCTACAGTTGGCACAGCCAATGAAAAACAGCTCGCTAAATGATGCATATTATGTACGTTGGTAGTTTTTTCCTCCATTATTGTCGCAGCGCCGGGCCTCAGAGCCGGGCTGATTGTGGATGCGAGTAGCAGGGATGGCAGAGTTTCAGAGCGATGTCACGACTGCTGCTTGTTGGCCTCCTCTTCGTAAGCGTTTCCCGTTCCGTTCTGCACGTAAGCCGAGCCCGAGCTCAGCCCGTACAGGTGGCCGCAGTATTTCGCATCATCGATATGATCCTCAAAGAACATCTGGAGGGGGAGAGATTGCAGATGGGATTACAGAGATGTGAATCTCTCTTAGACTGCTTGAAGCAACCAAAGCTCTGGCTGATGCCCCACCTGACACCTTACCTCTCTCATCTTGAAGAACGCCATGCCTGTGAGTAAAGAGTCTGAACCAGCCTGGTGCTGTGGTCCAATCCTCTCCAGCTCCAGCTGTTCAGCTACTTCCTGCAGCCCGCCCTAAAAACAACACAGTATCAGTCATCCTCATTGTTCCAAATT